GTGTGGTTGGTGCTAGGTGCAGTATCAGTGAAGGGGGTGGGTGAGATTAGCCGTGCTGTATGGTACAATGGCGTGAGGTATGTATGATGTGTTAGTCTATAGCTAGCTATAAGGTTTGTTGGTCGGGCTCGTATGAAGGCCGTATTGCATCCTCGATGGTGCCACAGCCTAGACACCAGTTGTCGTCCCAGAGAACCGCGACCTGGCCAAGTGCGACGGCCTTCTGCGGCTCGTCGAACGTGATGACGATCTCTCCGTCATTCTCATCCCTGTGTCCAATGATAAACACAATGACAGCATTAGCTTTGGCTATACCATACGGCGGCGTTTCTCGTACCTCCGGACAGTGCAGGGAATATCCATCATAAGACGGCGGAACTGCACCCGCGCACGGAAGCCCTCGGGCGTGTCGATCGTAGCGGGCGGCGCATCCCGCCATATCCATGCCCAGTCCCGCATCTTCAGGGCCGAGGCAAACAGTTCGGGATGGCTGCACCGTCATCAGCATCGATGTAAGCATTTAACATTCGAAGGCGGGAGAAGACTGACTCGTCGGGCACGACTAAGATCTCGTTTGCAGCTTTGTCTTTGCGCGCGACGAACATCTTGTGCGGGAGGCCTTTGATCTTCGCGCCCTGCCCGATGGTGAAGGTCCACAGGCCTGCGTGCGTCCCGAGCTCGCGGCCGGAGACGAGGTCGCGGATGACGCCCGGCTTTGGGGGGATGTAATTCGCTGCAAGGGCAAACGCTACTGGTCAGCCGCCGTCTGCGTCGTGAGTGGACGAGGAGTGCATGCGTGCGGACCTAGGAAGTTCGTGAACTTGCGCTTCTCGCCGACAAAGCAGATCCCCATGCTCTCCTCGCGGTCCGCGTTGTGCAGCCCCGCGTTGCGCGCGATGGCGCGGACCTCGTCTTTGTGCAGGTCGGCGAGCGGGAAGAGCGTTTTCGCGAGGCTGGGCTCGGGGATCGCGGAGAGGAAGTAGGTTTGGTCTTTCGTGCGGTCGGCGGGGCGCAGCAGCATTGGGCGGTGGTTGGTCGGGTGCCAGTGTTTGCGTGCGTAGTGGCCTGTGGGTTAGAGATTTAGGACGGGATGAGAGGGGGCGGATGGGGAGGGGGCTGACCTGTGGCGACGAATTGGGTGTCCTCTGCTAGACGGGGTAGAAGTGCGCCGAATTTGACCTCTCTGGAGCTCGGATGTTAGAAGTCTCAGAGCAATCTAAAGCGAAAATCGTACTTGTTGCACCATATGTCAGGATTTGGTGTATCACCGGCCTCCCATGACTTCAGTGAAGGTTCAAAGACGCGTAGCCAATACTCTCGCGAGAGGTCAACCTGGCCTGGTCTAAGGTCATCTGAACAGTATACCTTTTGGACAATATTTTGACTAACCATGGTGCACGGTATATCCATTTTCTTGCACACGCGCTGGACATCCTCCCAGTCTTTCTCCCATTCACAGCCTCTGTCAGTTCCAGACTCGTCTCGGGTGTCCCAGTTGCGCATGAAGACCGCAGAAAGGTCATAATCCTGTAATACTGGTCAGAAGAGAAAATTGCGGACTTTCTGGTACTAACTTTGTCTGCTAGTAATTTGGCACATGCCGAAGAGTCTACTCCACCCGACATGGCGATGACAACTGCAAAATTGTTTCATAAGAAACCCACTGCATATCTGGCCAGAACGCACCTTTGTCGCCATTCCGAGGATACTTCGGGGCGGCATAGTATGTGGACAGCGCACGCTTGAGTGCGCGGCCGGTAGCAAACATGCGCTTGGTCTCGACAGCTTCTGGTTTCACCGGTGCCTTGCTCGCGAATTGTCGAGGTCGCTACAGGGCGCCGGCCGTCTGGCGCGACAGTGAATCACGTGCCGCATGGGGGTCGGATTTGTTCGGGGAGAGGGCCGAGTCATTGGAATAAGTCCGACGAGGGTCTGCTTTAAGCTGCTCCAAGCCGGTTTGCGTGCTTGACTCTTCTCTTCCTCGTCGTCGTCGTCCTCCCTCCACGCACCTCCTCGCGGTCTGCTAACCTCAGTCGCAGGTCAAAAAATGTATTCGGCAGCACCAAAAATGCGCAGCGCCATCGTCCACAAGACAGGGGCCGTCTTGACCTTCTCCAGGTCGGGCTCGTCTGCGGTCACCGGTTCATCATTCCTCGATGCGAAAACAAGAGTTAAGGAACATGCTCGTAGCATCAGCCGCTCGTCGGCACAAAACGCTGTTGTCTCGCCTTCCGTGTACGTTTCTTACAGCATCTGCATAAATCGCATTACTCTGACTCGTGTATAAAAGCCGACCAACCCCGGCACCAGGCTTCCAGCAGCTGCCCTCAAAAAACAATGTGCCCAATTCTCCCCCAGCCCTCACACCGCACCCAACCATGCCTCTGGACCACTCGTTCGTGGGCATGTCTGGTGGCCAGATCTTCCACGAGATGATGCTCCGCCATGGTGTGCAGCACATTTTCGGCTACCCCGGCGGCGCTATCCTCCCCGTCTTCGACGCCATCTACAACTCGCAGCACTTTGACTTCATCCTCCCAAGACACGAGCAGGGAGCTGGACACATGGCCGAGGGCTACGCGCGTGTGTCCGGACGACCGGGTGTCATCCTCGTCACGTCGGGTCCTGGCGCGACGAACGTCGTGACTCCCATGCAGGACGCCCTCAGTGACGGTGTTCCTCTGGTTGTGTTCTGCGGACAGGTTGCAACGTCTGCCATTGGCTCCGACGCTTTCCAGGAGGCAGACATCGTGGGCATCTCGCGGAGCTGCACGAAGTGGAACGTAATGGTGAAGGATATTGCCGAGCTCCCTCGGAGGATCAACGAAGCCTTCAAGATTGCGACCTCGGGTCGTCCTGGACCGGTGTTGGTCGACCTGCCGAAGGATGTCACGGCGGGTGTCCTCCGTACTCCCCTGCCCTTCAAGGCGACCACCCCCGGCTCGAACCTCGGCCTCCCCTCGAATCCCCTGTCCTCCGTCACTCCCCAGCCCGACGGTTCCACCACCGACATCGACCTCCTGCGCCGAGCCGCCGACCTCATCAACCAGGCCGAGCGGCCAGTGATCTACGCGGGCCACGGTGTCCTGGGCTCCGAGCTCGGCCCCAAGTTCCTCGCGCAGCTCGCGCACGAGGGCAACATCCCCGTGACGACGACGCTGCAGGGCCTCGGCGCGTTCGACGAGCTGGACGACAAGAGCCTGCACATGCTCGGCATGCACGGGTCCGCGTACGCGAACCTCGCGATGCAGGAGGCGGACGTGATCATCGCGCTCGGCGCGCGCTTCGACGACCGCGTGACGGGCAAGGTCGACACGTTCGCGCCCGCCGCGCGCGCGGCCGCCGCACAGGGCCGCGGGGGCATCATCCACTTCGAGGTGCAGCCGAAGAACATCAACAAGGTCGTCGACGCGTCGATCCCCATCCTCGGCGACGTGACGGCGAACCTGTCCGCGATGCTGCCGATGATCAAGGCGGCGCCGCGCGAGCCGTGGTTCAAGGACATCAAGGAGTGGAAGTCGAAGTATCCGTTCGTGTATGCGAAGAGCCAGCCGGGCGGGAAGATGAAGCCGCAGGAGGTGATCGAGGAGCTTGAGAGGCAGACGGCGGCGGACAAGGAGAATGTCATCATCTCGACGGGTGTTGGCCAGCACCAGATGTGGGCCGCGCAATTCCTGCGGTGGCGGCATCCCCGGTCGATGATCACGTCGGGTGGTCTGGGCGTACGTATCTTCTGCCTTCTTTCTCTGTTACTTGCTGACGATGTGTCGTAAACTTGCAGACGATGGGTTTCGGTCTTCCGGCTGCTGTGGGCGCAAAGGTGGCCGCGCCGAATAAGACCGTCATCGACATCGACGGTGATGCATCGTTCAGCATGACCGCCATGGAGCTCGCTACTGCGTCGCAATTCAACATCGGCGTGAAGGTGATGGTCTTGAACAACGAGTTCCAGGGCATGGTGCTGCAATGGCAAGGTATGCATACCATTGATCTTGCTGCAAGCCGGACCCTAACCATACGTCGACAGATCTGTTCTACGACTCGCGCTACGCGCACACGCGGATGACGAACCCCGACTTCGTGCTGCTCGCCAAGGCGATGGGCGTCCACGCGATTCGTGTGCACTCCCTGGAGGAGCTGCCTGCGAAGATGAAGGAGTTCCTTGAGTACGACGGCAGCAGGCCGGTGCTCATGGAGTGCCTGGTTGAGTCGGCCGAGCACGTGTGGCCAATGGTCAGCCTTCATCTCTATCCCCTGCCCGATTCACGTAGGCTGACGAGTTGTACGTTACAGGTGCCCGCTGGCAAAGCCCTGCACGAGCAGCTCATGCACCCCGAGTTCTACCCAAGAAAAGCATGAGGTCTCTCGCCTCCATCATCTTCTCTCTTTTTTTGCTTCATCTCGTCTCCGCGCGCCCACACTACACGCGCCCACCCATCTACATACATCACACCCCCCGTTGTCCCGTGTTCATTCTTCCATTCACTCTCCCCACGATGATATTTTTTGATCGGCTGCATGGATGGTACTGACCGTGTTGAGGAGGAAAGAGGAACAAGCGTCAAGCCCCGGGAGGAGGAATAATCGTCGTCGTCTGCGGACTCGCTTTATATGAGTGCAGTTCGCCAGTCTTGTATACTATCCGCTCGTTTCGTTTTTGCTGCATCATAAAACTATACGCATCACGCATGCACACGCAAACACATGGTCTTTTTGTTCTGTAGGGGATATCGATCTTGGGACGGTCAATGCAATGCGATCCGGATTCCTGGACCGCAGGCCTAGCCTAGAGGCAGCTACACTATATGATGCAAGTGCATAGACATGTCAGGTCTGTCGTCGTTCACGATCAAAGGCTCTGCCCGGGAAACGACTATGTCTCTTCCTTGTCGAGGTCAGCAATAGAGAAAAGTTCAAGTAAAGCTTGCGCAAGTGACCAAGACACTCACTACTTGACATCGTAGTCAAAATTATTGAAGGAGGCTGTCATTCTTCCCAGTTTCGGATACGGGGAATCGAACCCCGAGCTACCGCGTATATTACATGATGAGGCCTAATGAGAGGCGGTAATGTTAGCCATTACACCATATCCGATATGATAAACACAATCTAAAAAATCATACGTGGCGTTCAAAAAGCAAACAATCTGGAGGGGGCCAAAGGTATGTTCAACAGCAATTACATCCCGCTGGACGAAGACGTGATCTTTATAAGAGCTCACAAAATGTCGTGTCAGCGCCATGCTCATGCAGCGGGCCGAGTCGACAGCGTGCGTAGGTGCCGCGTAGTGGTGGGGATAGCGGCATCAGATTGCATAGGGTGTCCGATAGAAGTACATACAACAGTAATACAACAGCGCTAGCGTAAAGTTACACGGCTGTGCGAGGATTATACTAGTAACAGGTAACAAAACAGAGAGCGTGAAAAGTGTCCGATTCTTTCGTGCCCGTGTGGCGGGGTGGGGCAAGATACTCGTGACGAAAGCTGTTGGTCCTTCAGCTGGTGGTGATCAAGAAAGGATCGCTGTCATCTCCGGAGTCGCCGAAGACTAAAGACACAGAAATCGCTTATGAGAGGCAGACAAGAGCGGGAAAGAGAACTGGGGACTTACAGACTAGGAAATATTGTCCAGCGTCGACGTTAGGGACTGTCACTTCAATCCGGCCGTCCAGGACGTTAAATCCAGAAGCCAAAGTGACTGCAATTTATCAAGTGAGACAATGCCAATGGTAGATGCTCCGGCCGTGCTTACTAGGGAGGATGATAGTCTCCCAACCAAGCTTGATCGTGCCGACGGGATTCGTGATGTTCACAGGCGCATCCGAAGTGTCCCTGAGAATTGATGGTCAGTAATTAGCGCGACAATAATAACAATGAGGGACCTACCAGGTGACATTATGGCGCTGGCCGACCATCCATACCGTACCTTCGTGAGGGTAGGTAACCCGCGGGGCATAGACGTCCCGTGGCTCGAGGGGGGCAGCTGCCACAACGCTCGACAGCGCCATGGCAAAGAGGGCGAAAGAGCTCGTGAAGATGTTCGTAAACTTCATGGCGGACGTAAACAGTAGTGGTTTGGAGTGTGTGTTTGTAGACTTGAAGCCTGTAGGTTCGGGACGCACGCACCTGGCTTTTTATACGACGCATAGAGCGGAACGTTGAGGCCGCTACGAGACTTCGAAGCGTCGAGCGCCTCGTAGACTGAGCGGCGCTGGCGGAAATGAGAGCGCAGGCCTCCTCCGGATCGCTCTTGACGCTCCAGAGGACGGGTGGGCGCGCCGTGCCGCGACTCCTACACCGCGAAAGCCTAAAGTAAACCTGCCCCAAGAGGCTAGACGGCCGATCCAGAGTGTGCTTAGGATAGAAAGGCGCCAGGTCGGCCGTGGATGATGCACGACTGCCCGCAGGCCAGATTGAGAACACTCGGGCCTCGAGGCAGGAAATGGTAGCACGAGGACACGGTAGCACGAGGGCCACTCGGAGGTAGGCGGCAGCTGGCTTTGACGCGCTCCGATATTGGCCCAGCGTCTTCCATTCCCACGAGCAGTCGTCCAGAGGGGGGCCGTCTGGCCTCGAAGTTATGAGTGATATGACTTTTTGGAGCACCGGAGTCTAGGTTTGTCTTGAGTCGGTCCAGCGAACGTAAGAGAACTGTGCACCACATAGACGCCACCTAGGTCTGCAGAGCTGAGGCGTAAAACACTCCACAAGGGGAAAGACCACTGTAGAACGGCGAGGAAAAGGAGAACAGCAGCAAGGCGATAATGTCAGTAATTAAGGGTCAGCAGATTTGTAGTGCGACCGAATCAGTCACTGTATAATTGTTAGTCTCTTGGATCTTTGACGTTCAGGGTATATGGGAAAATGTTGAAGCCAATACCTGCGCAAATAGATGGGCAAAAGAAACTTAATTGAATCCGGGGGAAAGCGGAATGCTGGAGGGACGCAGATACAGAATTTTTGAGCGGAAGCAGAAAAGAAGAGCTTAGCAGAATTGGCCAGGGAGGTCGAAGAACCAACAATTGTAAGACGGAAGCCCAGTAGTAGGAAGATGAAGCAGATGCCCGGTGCCTCATCTCGTGCCTTGAGCATTTCCAGGAAGAAAAAGAAAGTAAACGGGCAGCCTTGACGATAGAGTGCGAGCCATGGGCGTGGAGGCGTCGCAGGCCGCGGACGTAGGCAGAAAAGCAATAAGAGTTGGATGATCGGCCTGCAAGCCTGGTATCCATGCGAGGCCTTCCAGCGGGACTGAGATACCGGGCAGTTTGTTGGTCCGTTCCGAGGCTGGGACGAGAGTGCAGAACACGTATTCCAGGCTCTGAAGCCGCCCGCCCTGTGGTAGCATAAGACCGTGCAAGTGACTGGTCACAAGAGCAGGACTCGGAGAGTTAGAAGTCTACCCCATTGGAAGCATACCCGCGTGGTTTGGCACAATCCAAAAATTCAGAAGCATTTCGAATGAGCGCGTACCTGTGGTCGCGACTCGGAAGCACGAAGAGGTTGAGTGGTTTGATGTTAGTATACGTTTATCCTGTAAAGATTACTTCCAAAAAGGATGGTCAGTGAGAGACACTGATGTACGTTGATTCTCAAACATCGTAGACCTTGAGTGTGGACGAGGGTTGAATTGAACGCGACGGAGGAGAACAAAGGGCGTGCGCCACCGACGCGCGGGGAGGAAAGCGCGTCGACGCGGCGTGTTTATCGTTCCCACGGCATCTCTCCCGAACGCGCCTCCTAACCATGCCCACCGCCGCCCGCAAGAGCAGCCTGGGCTCCTCCCGCCGCGCTGCAGAGAAGAAACACATCCCTTTCCGCGCAGATGAGCTCGGCCGCGGCAAGAAGACCGGCATGGCCGTGCGCTACGTCGACCACAAGTCGGACGAGTTCGAGCCGTTCGACCAGGTCATGAGCCAGGCCGACACTCGGACGCCCCCACGGGCGCACCGCAACGGCGCACGCAACGGTCGGAAGAGCAGGGTCGAGACGATCGTGGAGGACGAGGACGGCGAGATGTCGATGGAGATCGACGACGGCTACGGTGCGTGAATTGCACTTCAGTTCATCATGCGGACAGGTTCTGATGCCGCGCAGGTGGTCCTGAGAGCGCGGAAGCGTATTTTCAGAAGACGCGCAGGCCGTCGATGCCTGCGGCTGCAACGCGCGTGGGCTCGTCTAGCCGTTCAGTGCCCCGCATGTCCGAGATCGACTATGACAGTGTGCCGTCCCCGCGACCACGGCCGTCCACGAATGGCAGACGTTCTTCTGTCTACGGGAACACATCTGTGGGGCCCTCCCATCTATCCCAGTCGACACTGGGTCTAGGCGATGACGACGAGGACGACATTCCTATGGACGAGGGTGGCATGGAGGACTACGGGCAGGACGATTACGGGCAGGAAGAAGATGACGAGCCGCAGGAGCAGCCGCAGAGGTCCTATCGACGTCAGCAAACGCCGCGGCGGTCAAGCTTCACGTCGATGGCACAGGACGCAGTCGGGTTTGAGGACGAGGACGAGGAGGAAGAAGAGGAAGTAGAAGAAGTCGCGGCTAACTACTCTCATCGCTCTGACAAGGGGAAGGGTCGTGCTGTGGAGAGTTATCACGACGCGCACGAAGAGGATGATGTGGAAGAGGAGATCGCGCAGGGCTTGGAAGACATTGACGGTGACCAACAGGACGAGGAGATGTATGAGGACCCAGAACCAGAGCCGGAACCGGAACCGCCCAAAAAGAAGAAAAAGGTGGATGACGCGCAGAGCAAGCAAGTCGGCCGAGCGAGAAAGAAAGTCACAACACCTATGCTGCCAGGTTTGTCCGGGTACATTCACAACCCGACAACTGCTCATGTACTAAATCTCTGCCAGAATCTCCTGACAACAGCGATGGGCTGCGGCGCGGCAAACGCATACGCTACGCGCCCCTCGAATGGTGGCGGCAAGAGAAAGTCGTGTACGGCCGTCGCGAGTCGGGCATCTCTTTCGTGCCCACCATCAAGGCGATCGTGCGTATACCCAAAGAGGCCCCACAACCTCTCGGCAAGAACGGGAAGCGCAAGAAGAGCGTGCCGCGCGGCAAGAGCAAGACTGCAGATGCGGAGGCGATGGTCTTCAACCCCGAAGAAGGCTGGGACGATGAAACTGAGACGAATGGTGTCGTCACGGACTGGGTGACGGGCGAAGAGATTGAGAGGCGTAAGTGCTGTCGCCAAACTTTTTTCAACACACAATGCTTAGGGGAAAGTCCCGTATAGGCCTCGTCTTCCCTGGTAGGATGGTCAACTTCCGCGCAGGCGCGAACAACGATTTCTTCTTCCAGAAGATCTTCGGCGACGGTGAGTACGTCGCCGCTGGCCAGCTCAAAATCCCGCCAAAGGGCCAGAAGCCGACCAAGATGACGAAAGACAATACATATGTACATTCTCTCCCTCATCGCGACCGCTTCTCAATCTAATGTTGTATCCACGTTGTGTACTAGGTCTTCTATGTCATCGAGGGGGCCGTTGCCTTCAAAGTGCACAACTCGACGTACATCCTGTGCACGGGCGGGATGATCCTCGTCCCGCGCGGCAATTCGTACTACATCGAGAACATCTGCGAGCGCGACGCTCGTCTGTTCTTCTCGCAGGCGCGCCGCGTCAGCGCGGAGGACGAGCAGGCGCAGGTGCGGCAGCCGGCGCCGCCGTCACGCACGGGGAGCGCGGGCGCACCGACAAGCGCGTCGAGGCAGTCGGTTGAGAAGACGGAGAAAAAGGGTAAGCGGGCGGCGTCGTCGCGGGCGTAGGCGGTGAACGGACAGCTGGTGGGTTTTGTGTGTGGTGGCGGGGTGGTGTGTATGGTGTATGATGTTGCGATTGCAGATGTATGTTTCTATAATCTTCTTGTCGAGAGACAGATTTCTAGGTTTTTCCTATTTTCCCATGTCCTTGTTCGCCCGCGCCCACACGCACTTCAATATCATTGTTTATGACTATTTAGGTTGGTGGGTCGACGGTCCAAGTTATTCGTGGAGTATACTGGTGAGTGGACCTCTGTCCGTGTACAGTTGCTGACAATGGTTTACGCAATCCTTGTCGGCATCTTGGGGTCTTGTTC